TGCCACTTCTGTGTGTCAGCCTGTTCTTGTGTCTCCTCTTCATACAAATAAGATCGGGCTTGAGTAACACACAGCCCTTCCATAAAATTCAATTGTTCCAAGGAAGGCACAAATGAATACTGGCTAACAAGCTCTGGAAGATCAAATGCTAGTGGCTTTTCTGGCCCATCAATATTCACATGAATTTTGCAATCATTTTAAATTTTTGTTGTTATTGATAAGACAACACCGAACCACCAGCAACTTTGCCGAGTTTGCCATTGACAAATTCTAAATTGTCAGTTTCTGGAATAGAGTTAATTTGCATATCTTCAAAATGTCTTTCAGGGAATGAATAATTTGGAGTTCTCCAAATTTTTCTGGAATGGGGTTGAACAGAGTAGGCTGTACTCCATCTACCCTGCGTTGTTGTTTTTTTTTTTTCACTTCCCCACCTTTGGCTGGTAGTTTCACCTGCAATACCAGCACCTCCTGCACTTCCCGAGAATTTATCCCGGCCATTCTTTGAGGCAAACTTGTCTTGGACATAGCAGAGGTACACTTCATAAACCCAATTTTCGATAGTGCTCAAGGAGATAAACCAACTCTATTGCATGGTTGCACATTCCTGATCCTGCCTCACAGTTGCAAGAGGTGTTTGATATTTGTACTTCACAAGCCCTTCAGATTTCAACCTATGGAAAAATTTTAAAAGGGTTTGTTGAATATACCTTAGTACGTAAGCGAAGTTTAAGACTTCTTTCAGTTCAAACAAAACTACATGGTCAAATAAATACCTGCAACCTCCATGGCTCTTCATTTTTCCGCTGTGATCTGTAGCTTCGAGCTCTTACGACGACACCTGCTTCTAGTGTTTTCACTGAAAGGGAAGGTGGGAATTCATGTGTGAAATCGTGAACACGCCACGAGTCGTGGTTTCTAGGGCTTCATTTCATCATTTTTGTAAATCGTCGGAGATTTTGAATAGTAAATTCGGGTATAAACAAAGGATAAGAACAATGTAAGATCTTTAAAATAGTATGAGTGGCGTGAATCACGCAACTGTTCGAGTACACTCTCCACCTTCACCTAGACTCGAGGCATCATCAATAACAACTCGTCAAAACTAAAACTTACCTTCGATATCAAAGATATATAGCCTTCGCAGAAATTGCTGTAACCACGAGTTACGACTTTCTTTGGGACCTTTCCATCGTTCTCAAGCCATTTGTCGACGAAAGTTGAATCAAAATATGAAATATTTTAAGAAATTTCGGCCACGCGACAGAATCTGACTCCCCCAGCCGTAGTGACTAATCCAGCCTCGACTTAATGCGTCACGCAATCCAAGCTGGCGCTGCGTGATAACAGTCTAATGACTTGCTTCTCTTTGAGAGAAAGAACATCTGTCTAAGGTTTGGACGCTTTCAACGTAGGAAAGGTAAGAAAATCTGACCAAAGTTAGGCAAAAATTTACCTGCATTGCAATGGGCGTCTGTAATGTTAAACAACATTTGAATTTTGTCCCCTTTGAGCCGTCGATAGGGGGTGAGATATTTCTCGGATTCGGGAATTTTAACTGAAACAATTAGACACTTTCCGGACGATTTACTTCACACATGTTCGCCCGATCACGTGGAAGCTGTAGTTTTTTCAAACAAAATGGTTGGGAAATCTTGGCCCAGTAATCCTTCATTCGTGTAAAGATGATTTTTCATCAAATAATGCATTTTAAGAGAGCGAGATTAGGCTTACCCACTATATACTTTGTATTCATGTATGTCATGCATGTTTCAAGCACAGCAGGAATACTTAAATACCTTCTAAAGAAACCAAAAGGGCAGTGGAAGATATTTATAGTGGGTACATAGGCAGCAAATCATAGTAACTTGCTGTATCCTTTGTCATTTTCTTGCAAATTATATGTTTTAAGTGAGCAATCAGCTTTAAGTTATTCAGTAAGACCGAGAGGGGTCTGAAACGGTGTGTGGAGCATTACCGCTGTACAAAATATTCAGCGAGATATCTTTCTTTATTCAAACATTCAATCGTCAATCTGTTTATTTTTTATCTATTTACTGTGATACATATATATAATTTTTATTGTATATTCATCGATTCCATATTTGTGAACAATTTAAAGAACGTAAGATCATTTCATCTTTTAAGAGGCCCTTAGATATGCGAAAAAATTGTCCTTCGTGATCTCTACAAAGATAACAGATCAACGAGGTACATTGGGTCTTTTGAATTTTATGTTCATTTTCTTAAAGCAGAAGGGGCGAACCCTCCGAGTATACCATCCTTAATCTTAGCAGAGGATCATTGGCTGATTTGAGGGTAACATTTGAAACACGAGAGAGGGATAGAATAAGAGAGATAGATATTCATTATCTTGGTAAGAGTTTAAAGTAACAAATAAAAGCTGCTTAGTTCAGATTAATTGACTTGGTTTGACTTAGCAACAGAAAGAGACTTATTCTCTTCGCTTTTTTCAGAGACTAAATCGGCGGGTTTCTTTCACATTGATTGAAATGCAGCATTCAACAAAGTTTAGAATTGGCGGCTAGAATGAAATATCAACGCTGAGAAATCCAATTCCTGATTACGATGCAAATCACGCCTCACCAAAAGATCCAATTTGGCAATATGAACTGATCTTTGACCAAGAGAACAATCTATTTAGCCCCTAAATCATGCTTACACAAGATGGAGAAGAGCCTTAGTAACTATCACTTTGTTTTATACAATAGTCATGCATAGAGTGTAGCTTAGTGAATTGGTGCCTGTCTATAAGCTTTTTTTAAGTGGGACAAGAGTAAACTCTAGTCAGAGCTGTGATTGCTGTAGAGTTTACTTCCCCCAGACATAAGTGTATTTTCAAATTTCGTACGTTTTCATTTACTCGATCGCTAACCACAATATACTACGCTTGCCTGCGAAGCGACCGGTACTTCGAGCTAACACGGCTGACATTAGAGTGGTCTAAAATTGCTTTGTAACTTCAACTACTTGTTAACCGGGATATGCCGCACATGTTTTAAAGGCATCAAAACTGCACTAAAGTGGGAGACAAGTCAACTGTATTCTAATGTTCTCCTAAGCGGGGGGTACCGTTTTACAGAGTGCGCTCGAATCAAATCAGAGTACTGTACGGCAATATAAGCATCAGTGTTTTAGCTCGGCAAACTAACTGCTTCATACGTTTTCATATTGCGAGCTAATTGTAACGATTACTGAGGAGTCATCACAAATAAATTACCAACGTGGTCTAACAGTTCTGATGACAAAAACTATTCTAAGCGAGATTGAAGCAAACAAGTGTCGGAAGAAATAAACCTCTCTTTTTATCTAGTCGGTTGGATTAACTTCCACCCATAAACTTGCCTCAATTTGTATGACTCTGGTGGCTCTTTTGAGACCCTTTTTGGAGAAACTAAAGGTAGCAAAATATGTGTTGCAATGCACCAGACGCTTTCAATATATAAAGGTGATTTCATATGCCAATGCGATATTCATGGTCATGTTGTTAACAAAGCTACTAAGTCTTCAAGTCCCATCATTTTCTCTTCGGCTACTGATACTGAGGAGTTATCAAAGTGTATCACAAACAAACAGTTTTTCTACTGTGGTGATTCTATGTGAGGGTGAAACATACAGACCAGTGCGGAAAAATTGTAAAAGTAAAAACTCAGTCAGTCTGCTCTGTATATATTTAAATGTTTATTGCTTTTGATAACACGACAAACTTTTATTTGGAATAAGGTTTAATTTACCGACTGTTTGAATTGTTGCCCAGTTCGAGACATCTGATTAGTTTGATTAACGTCCATCGGTACAAACTTGCAAAAATTTTCCGACCGATGTGACTCTTGTAAATCATCTGGAATCTGTTTTGAAGAAGCTAACAGCAAAAAGGTATAAGTGGAGTGTGCTAGACACTTTCAATTGACAGGAATGATTTCATATGCCGACTTTCAAGGACGCCAGTAGACAGCTACAATTTGATGGATGTGATGTCATCATGACAAAGGCGATTGTTTCACGTCAGCGATGTATTGTCAAGTAGTCATCTTTTTAACACGGCAATTGATGCATGTTTTATGTCGATGAATCTTTGTAAAAGATATTGAGGAATGATTAAAGAGTATCGCAAACAAACTGGTTTTTTGAATGTGGTGATTCCGAGCGAGAGTAAAACAGCCCAGTGCTGGAAAAATGAAAAGGTCATATGTCAGTCAGTCTCTACGAAAGAGAGGGTCTTGCACCATTTTAATTGTTTCCTTCCACGTAAGTAGGAACCCGTTATTTTTCCTTTGGATTGCCTTCTTTGCAGATACTCAAGAAGAAAGCTTATTTCTTCTACTAAAGATCAAGCCAGAATCGAAGTCAACGTCCATTAATGCTCGGTCTCTTTGCTTTTATTTTCCTTCATTGCAGATACTCAAGAAGAAACGTTATCATAACGAAAGTTTCAGCTGCAACTACTGAAGGATATGTCCGCCGCTTCAGATTATCCGGAGATCGTGCCGAAGAGTGCATCTGAGGCTAAAGGAATAGACTTTTGTGGTACTAAACACCGCTTCTATATTATCCGATCTGATGTGGGTGTCTACATGAGGTGCGAAGATATTCACGCTGGAAAAGATATCAAGATTCACCGTCTAAGTGAGGCCTGTAGATGGGGCGATCACTACTTAGCCACTGACTCTTTTTTTTACATCATTAAAGGAGATGAATATCGCAGAGTTACCGACCTGAGGAAAGACGATGACGGTGTGGTTTACTCTCTTCATTGCAACTGTCGCGGAGGAAGCAGCTACTACTCTGCCTTTGGTAATTGGTACATCGTATTTGCCAACAGAGGTACCTACAGACGCGTGAGTAACATGAACAAAGATGAAGACGCAGTTGAATATAAAATCCATCAAGCGTTCCAAGATGGCATCTATTACTGGGGTACCAATGATTATGTGTACTGTCTGAAGCAGGCTGGAAAATGGGGTGTCACCTATCACAGAAGCACCAATATGAACTTGAACAAATATTGCGGTGACTTCAGCGTTCACGAGTCAGTGCTCAAGTTTATCCCTGGTGGTATAGCGCACACCCATGGAAAAGTGTTCGGGTATTGGAAAGATGTAACACGTCTTCAAAATGACTCCGACACCGCCATTGAATTGGAAAAAACCATCAAGAAAACCGTTGGATTTGACAGGAGCACAATGTCCTCCATAGAGTTGGAATGGTCCATCGAGATGGGAATAAGCGAAGAAGTAGGAATCAAAGCCCAAATTTCAGAATTGATTGAGGCTCTCTGTAAAGTTCAGTATAGCCTCAAAGAGACGTTTGGTGGAAAGATGGTCAACACAGAGCAGTGCAAGTGGAGTGACATCACTAAAGAAGACGAAAACGTTAAGCTGAAAATTCCACCGAACACCAAGCTGTACGTTTGGCAGTTTCAAATGGGCTTTGGAAAGAAGAAGAATCTCTTCAGTTGTGACACTGCGATCACATACGGTAAAACACCACCTGAGGAAACATTAAAGTATTTTATGCATTAACCGTCATCCTGAGTTGGGCTGAATCGGCGCCTGTTTAAGAGTGTTTAAAACAGTGACATTTCGAAATTTCTTATCTTTTTCATTTAATCGTTGAGCAGTAGACAATACGTGTTTTGAGAATCAATTAATATACTGCATTAAGTATAACACGAGTAAACTTTTTTTTAGTGTGCTTTCCTCAGAGTGTTTTTTTATGGTCATTTATTCTTTGATTTATATAGATACTGTGCTAACATGTCCAAAAGGTTATCAGTACTGCTGTTAAGCGTAAGGCAAGTGAACTTTGTTTGAAACGCGATAGATCGAGTGTTTAAAGTGAACATAAGTGCATATATTTTTTAATTTCGTGGTTACCCCTCATTAGTTCAAACATGCTGCACCTGTTTAAAAGGATATTAAAGAACAGTTAAGTGTGAGACATGCGATTATTGTACCAAGGTCAGAATAGCTACTAATTGAGTTTACTTTGAATGAATGTGAATTTGTTTTAAATCACTCGTATATGTTTACGGACAGAATTGGACGACACGAAGTCCTGTTATCAGAATGCAAACGACGACGGCAACCAGGACGTGGTAAACAGTTGTGGTAAACATACAAAACGAGATCTCTAGAGTACTAAAAAAATACGTTCAACAAATTAAGAAATTCCTATAAAGCTAATATTTTTATTAGCGTGTTGGGGAGAGATAATTTACTCTCTTCTGTAGTCAGCGAATCCTAAATGTTCAAGACATTGGCGCCGTTTTAGTCAAATCAAACACTTACGATGAAAGAAAACGTCAACACATCGCTTTAACGTAATTTCAAAAAGTAAAGGAAATTATTTAGACGGTTCGCGATTCGACAAAGCCAATCGTAATGAGAACATTTCCAGGAGAAGACTGCAAGTCTCTCTAAAGAAGAATTAATTTTTTTATTGGAAAGATGAAATCGAGATAACTTCAGGGAAAGTGTATTAAAGTTCTGTAATGTTCACCAGTTTCTCAAATGACTGTTTATGTAAAAAAAATAGAATTGTGGTGGTTGGGGCCTATCAAATATGGAAATTCAATTTTCTTTGACAGAACCTTAAAATTCCGTAACTTACATCACTAAACCTTTTCTTGAAATGTGAATGACAATACTTTAGGGAATTTTGAAACGTAACAGTCACAAATATTAGAAGTAGTTCTGGTCAACGGACCATCAAAGAAAAACAATGAAGACACCTACTCCAGTACCTCCGTTCCTCCAAACATCTGCAAACTGCTGTTATAGAAATACCATTCTGCATTCTTACAACACCTTTACGCGTTTCATGGTGAAGTATTTTTGAAACAGTTTTATACGAACGATAAACAATCCTTGAAGCGAAAATAGTCATTACGAACAACCCAGAATGTTCTATAAATATCACTCGTTTCGATTATTTTCTGCATTTCAATACCTCATCACGGTCCACTTCTTCCACGTTCGTTTGTCAACATTTTTGATTTTCCACCTAACCAGTTTAATGGGGATCATTCTCAATATCTTTCAAACAAAAGAACGGAAAGAAACATTTTGAGCTCGTGTAACGATTGAAAAATCAAAAACGCGAGAGAGATGTCTCGGGGTGTGCTTTCATTGTAACTTTTGACAAGGGTGCGCGACCAGCTCTCCAAATCTTAGCGTTATTTCAGAAAAGAAAATACCATTTTTAGATCCAGGTTGTAAATATCCATAATCCTTTTCAGACCAAACTTCAAGGGAAGCACTTGATTTGCGAATCCATTATGCGTTGGTGTGCACAGTGTAATCAAGCCTGACATCGGCGCCGATGTTAAGATCGGTCAAATTCACCCGAAAATTCAGCTGGATTAATGAATTGTGGTCATTCTTCCTTCTCTTAGAGTCATTTGCAGGTGTAAGATAACAGTAAGTGAGCAATTTCATCACCAGTATATGAAAACCAACGTTTGATAAGCCCTCCTCACACGTGTACAGGTGGTACAATCATCGGTGCCGATGTCAAGATCAGTCAAATTCACCCGAAAATTCAGCTCGATTGACGAATTATGGTCACTCTTCCCTCTCTTAGATTCATTGTAATTGTAATATAACCTTAAGTGAGCAATTTCAAATTCATGCGTGTAAATGCACTTTATAAAAAGTAAAAAATAAAAGTAAGAAATCGCGGGGAAAATTTTTTTCTTTAGGGATTTGTTTGCTGAAGTCATGAGCGTGCACAGTAGGAATATGAAGCACGCTCATGCAATTGAATTTGATTAGACAAATTTACTAGCTATGTTATAAAAGTTATTGGTAGAATAGTATTGTCCATTCACAAAGGGAAACAATGAATGATGCCGAAAAGGATAATATCGGAAATATTATAATAGCCTGACCTTTTTTTTTAGTTTTATCGATTGAGCAGGGTATTTCGTCATTGACTTGCATCTCTTTGAGAGGAACACGTGTCTGAAGTCTAGACGCTTTTAAAGTAGGAAAGGTAAGAATATCTAACCAAAGTTAGGCAAATCTTTACCTGCCTTGCTATGGGCGTCTTTACTGTTAAATCATATTTGAATTTTGTCAGTTTTGTGCCGTGGAAAGGGGGTGAGATGTTTTTCGCATTCGGGAATCTTTACTGAGACAATTGGACAATTTCCGGACGAGTTACCACACACATTTGCCCGATCACGCGGCGGTTTTATCCAAGGCAAAAGTTTTTGCAAACCAAATGGATGGGAAATCTTGGCCCAGTGAACCTTTTCTTCGTGTAAGGGCGATTTTTCATCAAATAACGCATTTTAAGAGAGCGAGAGCAGGCTTACCCATTATATACTTAATATTCAATTGAAAAAAATTGTGATAGGACAAAACATTCTCTCGATAGACACGAGACAGATACGATAATCTTATGCATGGCCATCGACTTCTCACGGTCACAATGCAGAGTGTGGGAATAACTTACCTGATGCGATTATTTGTTGCTTTCTGTTTGCCCTAACTCGACTGTAACAGACTAATTGAGAACAAAGGTGCACTTGGCTAGTTAATACACTCCATTCCTTGTCATATTCCTTGTCATATATGTCATGCATGTTTCAAGCACAGCATGAATATTAAAATACCTTCAAAAGAAACCAAAAGAACGTCATATGGTCTAGTAACAGTGGAAGATATTTATAGTTGGTACACAGGCAGCAAATTTTAGCAACTTCCTGTATAATTCGTCATTTTCTTGCAAATTATATGTTTTAAGTGAGAAGTCAGCTTTAAGGTATTCAGGAAGACCAAGAAGGGACTGAGACGGCGTGTGGGGCATTACTGCTGGACAAAATAATCGGCGAGATATCTTTCTTTATTCAAATATTCAATCGTCAATAAGCTTATTTTTATCTATTAACTGTGATATATATATAGGAAGTCTGCAAGTCGATTTTCGCGTGGAACAGTGCTCAATACGTTGAAGCAGAGCAGAATAAATATTATGAGAGGAAAAAACGACGCAACTACATTTCCCGACAAGCCTGTTTCGTGAATCGCTTCACGAATTAAACCCCTGAAGAGTGAAGCGATTCACGAAACAGGCTTGTCGGGAAATGTAGTTGCGTCGTTTTTTCCTCTCATAATATTTATATATATATATATATATATATATATATATATATATATATATATTTTATTGTATATTCATCAAATCCATACATGTGAGCAATTTAAAAGACGCAAGATCATTTCATTTTTTAAGAGGCCCATAGACATGCGGAAAAATCGTTCCTCGTGATCTCTACAGAGATGAAAGATCGACGAGGTAGATTGAGTGTTTTGAATTTTATGTTCATCTTTTAAAACCAGAAGCGGTGAACCCTCCGAGTACCATTTTTTTCTTAGCAGGGGATCATTGGCTGATTTGAGGGTAACATTTGAAACACGAGAGAGATAGAATAAGAGAGATAGATATTCATTATCTTGGTAAGAGTTTAAAGTAACAAATAAAAGCTGCTTAGTTCATATTAATTGACTTGGTTTTACTTAGCAACAGAAAGAGACTTATTCTCTTCGCTTTTTTCAGAGACTAAATCGGCGGGTTTCTATCACGTTGATTGAAATGCTACATTCAACAAAGTCTAGATTTGGCAGCTAGAATGAAATATCAACGCTGAGAAATCCAATTCTTGATTAAGATGCTAATCACGCCCCACCGAAGAATCAAGTGTGGCAGTATGAACTGGGCTTTGACCAGGAGAAGAATCTATTTAGCCCCTTAATCATGCTTACACAAGATGGAGAACAGCCTTAGTAACCATCACTTGTTTTTACACAATAGTCATGCATAGAGTGTAGCTTAGTGAATTGGTGCCTGTCTATAAGCTTTTTTTAAGTGTGACACGAGTAAACTCCAGTCAAAACTGTGATTGCTGTAGAGTTTACTTCCCCCAGACAAAAGTGTATTTTAAAATTTCGTGCGTCTTCATTTACTCGTTAACCAGAATATACTACGCTTGCCTGCGAAGTAACCTATTCTTCGAACTAACACAACTACCATAAGAGTGATCCTGAAATTACTTTGTAACTTCAACTACTTGTTTTCCAGGATATGCTGCACATGCTTTGATGCACCAAAACTGTTCTGAAGTGGGAGACAAGTCAACTGTATTCTAGTGTTCTCATAAACGGGGGGTACCGTTTTATAGAGCGCGCTAGAATCAAATCAGAGTACGGCAATATAAGCATCAGTGTCTCAGCTCGGCATACTAACCGCTGAATACGTTTTCATATCGCGAATAAATTGTGACGAACACTAAGCAGTGATCACAAATAAATTACTAACATGCTCTAACAGTTTTGATGACAAAAACTATTCTAAGCGAGATTGAAGCGAGCAAGTGTGGGAAGAAATAAACCTCTCTTTTTATCTAGATTAACTTCCACCTATAAACTTGCCTCAATTGATATAACTCTGGTGGCTTTTTTGAAACCTTTTTCGGAGAAACTAAAGGGAGAAAAATATGCGTGCAATGCACCAGACGCTTTCAGTTTATAAAAGTGATTTCATATGCCTATGTGATATTCATGATTATGTTGTTAACAAGGCTGCTAAGTCTTCAAGTCCCATCATTTTCTCTTTGGCTACTGATACTGAGGGTTAGTTATAAAAGTGTATCACAAACAAGCAGTTTTTTTACTGTGGTGATTTTATGCGAGAGTGAAACATTCAGACTAGTGCGGAAAAATTGTAAAAGTAAAAACTCAGTCAGTCCACTCCAAGTTCGAGACATCTGATTAGTTTGATTAACATCCGTCAGTACAAACTTGCAACAATTTTTCCTGGCTCTTGTAGATAATCTGGAATCTGTTTTGAAGAAGCTGAAAGCAAAAAAAATGTAAGTGGAGTGTCGGTGCTAGACTCTTTCAATTGGCAGGAATGATTTCATATGCCGAATTTCAAGGCAGTTTTAGACGCCAATAGACAGCTACAATTTGATAGATGAGATGGCATCATGAAAAAGGCGATTGTATCACGTTAGCGATGTATCATCAAGTAGTCATCTTTTTAACACGGCAATTTATGCATGTTTTATGTCGATGAATCGTTGTAAAAGATATTGAAGAATGATTAAAGAGTATCGCAAACAAACCGGTGTTTGGAATGTGGTGATTCCGAGGGAGAGTAAAACAGTCCAGTGCGAAAAAAATATTCCCATATGTTCCCAAATGGCCCATTCGACGTGATGGGAAATATATACTTAAGACCGATCACGCAAATATTGCCCTATTCTATTTCCCCTCCCTCCACTAACGATCAAGCGAGAATCGAAGTCAACGTCCATTAAAGCTCGGTCTTTTTGCTTTAACTTCCTCCTTCATTGCAGATACTCAAGAAGAAACGTTATTTCAGCTGCAACCACTGATTGAAAGATATGTCGGCCGCTTCAGATTATCCGGAGATCGTGCCAAAGAGTGCACCTGAGGCTAGAGGAGTAGACTTTTGTGGTACTAAAAAAAGCTTCTATATCATCCGTTCTGATGTGGGTGTCTACATGAGTTGCGAAGATATTCACACTGGAAAACCATGGTATCAAGATTCATCGTTTAAGTGAGGCCTGTAGATGGGGCGATCACTACTTGGCCACTGACTCTTATTTCTACATCATTAAAGGAGATGAGTATCGCAGAGTGACCGAGCTGAGTAAAGACGAGGACGCTGTGGTTTACCCTCTTCATTGCAACTGTCGCGGAGGAAGCAGCTACTACTCTGCCTTTGGTAATTGGTACATCGTGTTTGCCAATAGAGGCACCTACAGGCGAGTGAGAAATATGAACAAAGATGAAGACGCCGTTGAATATAAAATCCACCAAGCGTTCCAAGATGGCATCTATTACTGGGGTACCAAGAATTATGTCTACTGTCTAATGCAGGCTGGAAAATGGGGTGTCACCTATCACAGAAGCACCAACATGAACTTGAACAAAGATTGCAAAGACTTCAGCGTTCACGAGTCAGTGCTCAATTTTCTCCCTGGTGGTATGGCGTACACCCACGGAAAAGTGTTCGGGCATTGGATAGAAGTAAAATGTCTTCAAAACGACTCCAACACTGCCATAGAATGGAAAAAAAACATCAAGAAAACCGTTGGATTTGACAAGAGTACAATATCCTCCATAGAGTCTAGCTGGTCCATCGAGACGACAAGAAGCAAAGATAAGCAGATAAATGTTTCTAAATTGATTGAGTGTCTCTGTAAAGTTCAGTATGGCCTTAAGGAGACGTTTGGTGGAAAGATGGTCAACACAGCGCAGTTCGAATGGAGTGACACCACTGAAAAAGAAGAAACCCTTCAGGTGAATATCCCACCGAATACCAAGCTGTACGTTTGGCAGTTTCAAATGGGCTTTGGAGAGAAGAATAACCTCTTCAGTATTGACACTAAGATCACATACAATGAAACACCACCTGAGAAACCATTAAAGTACTTTAAGCGCTAGCATTTAAAAGTGTGACACAAATGAACCTTGGTAAGAACTGTGAGTGCTAAAGTTTACTCTGAGTGGAGATAGGTGTGTTTTGAGATTTCTTATCTTTTTCGTGTACTCGTTGAGCAGTATACACTATGCTTTTTGAAAATTAATTATACACTGCATTAAGTTTTTTCCGTCAACTAAAGTCGATCAATTTTTTTGAGTAGACATGAGTGTAATTCTTTTGTTTCTGAGTGTGTCATTTACACTTTAGTCATTATATGCTGTAGTAGTTTGATAAGCAACAAACCCTGTTTCAAGTATGAGACGAGTCAACTTTAGTCTATTAACCGGTATCGATCAATTTTTTTTTAGCAGATACGAGAGTGTTTTCTTAAGGGTGTTTCTTATGGTCATTTACTCCTAAAATAATATACATATTGCGCTTACATGTTCAAAAGGTTACCAGTACTACTGTTAAGCGTAAGACAAGTGAAATTTGTTTGAAAAGCGATAGATCGAGAGTTTTGAAGTGAACATAAGTGCATATGTTTTTTAATTTCGTGGTTACCCCATTCATTCGTTCACTAGAATATACTACAATTGTTTAAAAAGAAATTAAAGTGCAGTTAAGTGTGAGACATGCAATTGTACCAAGATCAGAACTGTCACCAATCGAGTTTACTTTGAGTGAATATGAGTGTGTTTTGAGTGGCACTCTGATACTGTTAGGGAAAGATTGTTGAACTGCCAATGTAAACATGCCCTATCTAGGCAAAAAATCAAAACAAAAGATATAATGGGCAGAACAATAGCTCTGCTCGAGTGTTTTAAAACTTCGTACATTTCTTAGCCGCCCTCTGAAAACCAACAACGTGAAATCACCAAGATTTGCGTGGTATTGAAACTGAAACCCTGACGGCAAATCATTTAAGTTTCCATTTGGAACTCAACGCTGCTCACATACGTGAAGCTGTAGTTGAGGTGTGGCGCTGTAAGACAAGGTACACAATGAAGACACCCACTCCGGTACGAACGCCGAGAGAAACAACTCCTTCCAAACATCTGCAAACTGCCGTTATCGAAATACTCTTCGGCAGCATTCTTACAACACCTTCACGCATTTCATGGTGAAGTATTTTGAAACAGCTTTGTACGAACGATAAACAAACCTTGAAGCGAAAATAGCCATTTTGAACAACCCAGAATGTTCTATAAATATCACTCGTTTCGATTATTTTTTGCATTTCAATACCTCATCACGGTCCACTTCTTCCAAATTCATCAGTCAAAATTTCTAATTTCTAACCAGGCAATTGGGGATTATTCTCAATGTATTTCAAACAATAGAACGGAAAGAAACATTTTGAGGTCGTGTTACGAATGAAAACTAAAAAAACGCGAGAGAGATGTCCCGAGGTGTGCTTTCCCTGTAATTTTTGATCAGGGTGCGTGCCCAGCTCTCCAAATCTTAGCCTTATTTCAGACCAGAAAGCACAATTTTTAGACCCGGTGTGTAAATATCCATAACCATTTTCAGACCAAAATTCAAGGGTAGCACTTGGCGTTAGTGGCGTTGGTATGCACAGTGTAATCAAGCCTGGCATCGGCGCCGATGTCAATATCGGTCAAATTCATCCGAAAATTCAGCTGAATTGTGGTCATTCTTCCTTCTCTTAGAGTCATTTGTAGTTGTAAGATAACATTAAATGAGCAATTTCATCACCAGTATATGAGAACCAACGTTTAATAAGGCCTCTTCACACGTATACAGGTGGTGCAATCAGCTAAAGTCCTCAAACATTCATGTTAATTTATGTTGAATAAAGAATGGTCATGTAAACAGGTCGCTTTGCTTTTGGCTCACCGAGGGTTGATGAGGATCAAAGCAATAAAGTGGGTTCTTTTAGATTACGCAGGCGATTTGCCTTCAGTCCCGACTGGTATCGCTCAAAGGGGAAACATTGGGCACTACTAAACCAAAAACGAAGTTAAAATCTGACTGAGGATCATACGCAAGTTTAGGCATCTTCACAATAGGCCCCCTCAAGGAATCTAATTGCTTTACGGCACTGGATTTTGTCGGTTGTGTTAAGCGGTGCGGGTAAAACGCTGATTGACAGAATACCATAACATAGCTCAATTAATTTTGCGCGAAAATTTCATTCCTGCATGAGATTCAAAGGGACTGAAAGATTGAATACTTCTCCGAAATGATGCACGTTGAAAACAAATGACCTTAAGCTTTATTTTTTTCTTTTCCTCTTAAAAACAGCTCTACACAGAATATTCACAAATGACTTTCCGGCCCGCAATCAGGGACAAAAAAGTCACTCATGGGGATCTTTAAAAGCAGATAACTACCAAATGAACGCTGCCAATCTCCTGAATAAGACAATGGAAAGAAGAAACTTATTAAGATAACATAAATGAAAGTGTTCTAATTTTCTGTTGAGTATTGCTCAAGGGACTCTACTGACTCCTGCATTTGAAGAGCTGGACAAAATTTCCTCGTTCTTTATTATGCATACAGTTCTTTGATAGGGAGAACAGTGCCAGGCTTGATTACACTGTGCATACCAACGCCACTAACGCCAAGTGCTACCCTTGAATTTTGGTCTGAAAATGGTCATGGATATTTACAGACCGGGTTTAAAAAAGATGTTTTCTAGTCTGAAATAGGGCCAAGATTTGGAGAGCTGGGCGCGCAACCTGATCAAAAATTGCAGGGAAAGCACACCTCGAGACATCTCTCCCGCGTTTTTTAGTTTTCACTCGTAACACGACCTCAAAATGTTTCTTTCCGTTCTTTTGTTTGAAATATATTTAGAATAATCCCCAGTTGACTGGTTAGATGAGAAATCATACATTTTGACTGACGAATTTGGAAGAAGTGGACAGTGATGCGGTATTGAAATGCAAAAAATAATCGAAACGAGTGATATTTATAGAACATTCTGGGTTGTTCATAATGGCTATTTTCGCTTCAAGGATTGTTTATCGTTCGTACAAAGCTGTTTCAAAATACTTCACCATGAAATGCGTAAAGGTGTTGTAAGAATGCTGCCGAAGAGTATTTCAATAACAGCAGTTTGCAGATGTTTGGAAGGAATTGTTTCTCTCGGCGTTCGTACCGGAGTAGGTGTCTCCATTGTGTACTTTGTCTTACAGCGCCACACCTCAACTACAGCTTCACGTATGTGAGCAGCGTTGAGTTCCAAATGGAAACTTAAATGATTTGCCGTCAGGGTTTCAGTTTCAACACCACGCAAATCTTGGTGATTTCATGTTGTTGGTTTTCAGAGGACGGCTAAGAAATGTACGAAGTTTTAAAACACTTAAGCAGAAACTATTGTTCTGCCCATCAAATCTTTTGTTTTTGATTTTTGTCAAATTTTTGATGTTTGTTGATAGGGAGAACAGTGGCGAAAGCACTTGATTTCCTTTACGAAAATAATTACGGCTTTAAACCATTAGTTGCCGAGATAGATAATATCGTTACACTTTCCCACTGACGCAGCGCCACAGTTTCTTTAGCGACTTACCCTCCTTATTTGATTATGTAATATTTTCTCAAATGACTGATTTCTTTAAAGAATTGTAGTGGTCAGGGCCGATTAAGAAGCAAAATAACACCTCCAAAACCGCAATCATGTTTCTTTGACAAAACTTTAAAATCCGGTCCGCAATCAGGGACAAAAAAGTCACTCATGGGGATCTTTTAAAGTAGATAATTACCAAATGAACGCTGCCAGTCTCCTGAATAAGACAATAGAAAGAAGGGATTCAAAGGGACTGAAAGATTGATTACTTCGCCGAAATGATGCACGTTGAAAACAAATGACCTTAAGCTTTATTTTTTCTTTTCCTCTTAAAAACAGCTCTGCACAGAAATATTCACAAATGACTTTCCGGTCCGCAATCAGGGACAAAACAGTCACTCATGAGGATCCTTAAAAGTAGATAATTACCAAACGAAGACTGCCAGTCTCCTGAATAAAGTAATGGTAAGAAGAAACGGATCAAGATAACATAAATGAAAGTGTTCTAATTTTCTGATGAAAAAAATTTGTTCGAGGAAGTACACTGACTCCTGCATTTGAAGAGCTGGGCAAAATTTCCTCATTCTTTATTATGCATACAGTTTTTGTATAGAGTGGCCGATTGTTAATACTGGGCGTAGCTGACAAAAATATTCCAGTGACATATTTTAAGAAACAAAACAGTCACATAAGTTATCAGTAGGATAGTCTTGTCCATTCATAAAGGGAAACAATGAAAGATGCCGAAAGAGATAGCACTGGATGTATTATTACTGGCTCTCTGCAGGGTAAAAAAAAAGGTTAAGGAGTTGATTTCTTTGTTTTATAGATTGAGCAGATTATTTCATCATCATTCTTGACTTGCATCTCTGAGAGAGAACATCTGTCTGAAGTCTGGACGCTTTAAAGTAGGAAGGTAAGAAAATCAAACCAAAGTTGGGCAAAACCTTTCCTGCACTGCAATGGGCGTCTGTACCGTTAAACAGTACTTGAATTTTTTCAGCTTTGTGCCGTGGAAAGGAGGTGCAATGTTTTTCGGATTTTAACCGAAACAATTGATCACTTTCCGAACGATTTGCTACACACAATTTTGCCCGATCGCGTGGCGTTTTTATACATGGCGTATAAAAAGTTTTTGCAAACAAAATGGGTGAAAAATCTTGGCCCAGTGATTCTATCTTCGTGTAATGGTGATTTTTCATCAAATAACGCATTTTAAGAGAGCGAGAGTAGGCTTATCCATTATATACTCAGTATTCAATTGAAAAAAATTGTGACAAGACAAAACATTCTCTCAATAGACACGAGACAGATACGATAATCTTATGCATGGCCATCGACTTCTCTCAGTCACCATGCAGAGTGGGGGAATAACTTACCTAATGCAGTTATTTATTGCTTTTTATTTGCCCCAACTCGTAGTTAATACACTCCATTCCTTGTCACGTATGTCATACATGTTTCAAACGCAGCAGGAATATTTTA